TGGCGCAACCTTTTTCTTTTGGGGTTGGGGTGGGGTGGGGGGAAGCCCCACGAAGAAGAAGAAGAAGAAGAAGAAGAAGAAGAAGAAGAAGAAGAAGAAGAGGAGGAGGAGGAGACTCTGTGTGTGTCTGTGTGTGTGTGTGCCGCCGATGTCTGTCGCGGCGTTCTACGTGGGTCGTAATGGCGGGACCTTTTTTTGGGGGGGGAGGGGAAGCCCCACGAAGAAGAAGAAGAAGAAGAAGAAGAAGAAGAAGAAGAAGAAGAAGAAGAAGAAGAAGTAGAAGAAGGAAGAGAAGGTGGAGGAGGACTCCCAACAGGGCGATGCACCGGGTGATGGCGTTGTTGGCGAAGCTAACCCACTTACCTGGCGATGGCGACGTGGAGCGGGCAAGGGCGACGGGCAGCAGGCGACGAGGGTTCTGAACGGCAAGAATCGCCGCGTGATTTAGCGTTCGCATTCGAAGTGAAATGCCCGCGCGAAATCGCGCAGCGACCTTTGACAAACGGGAAGGAAAAAGGGCAATTTCAAGCCCTCAATCTTGCAGATCAACCCTTCTTTTTTTTCTTCGGGGGGCCGGTCTGGCCTCCACGCAATTTTTTTCCCGCGGTTAGCAGGGCCCTCCCACCCCCCGCTGTGCCCCAGGGCCTCCCCAGCAGCTTTTTCTGATTTTTTTTTTAATGCCGTGGAGAGCGTCCGGGGGCCCGCCCGGGACTCATGCCCGGCCGGGCACCCGGGCGCCATTCCGGGCGTGGTCTGGGGACCTAGGCGCCGGGGAAATCAGCCCAGCTTTTTTATGCACAAATTTTATTTTTTTATTCTCCACACGAATCCACAGTGATATCTTCAGAGAATCAAGATCTGAGTTGTGAATAGAGCTCCCTTCGTATCGCCTTTTCGCTATGATCCAGTGTGTATCTGTTGATTCTGTTCTGATCAGTTTAATATCTGATCCGTGGTCCACTGGACAGAAAGGAAAAAAAGAGCATCGCCTACCACCTCATGCAGCCTGGTGTACAAGGGGCATCACCTGTCTGAAGCCACTCTCCTTGATCACATTTCAAATCAAGGATATACAAGAAGTATTTCTTAATGTTCAATAGGGAAATCTTCAGACAATACAATCCAGATATGAATGGTGAATAGGACTTTCAGAACATCAGTTAAAACTTAAAACTTAAAATTGGAAGAATACAGAGAGGATTACCATGGCTGCTGCACACGGATGACCCGCAGAAACCGAGAAATGGTCCATAAAAAAACAACACAAGCGGATGCCCATTGCGTCTGCGGCAGGGGCCAAGAGCAGGGGGGGGGGGGAAACAAAAATGAATCTTCCGCTTTTTCCCAAAAAAATAAATACATAAATAAATTCCACCAGAGCACAGATATGAATGTCAAAAACTTTGACAGAGGGCCTCGCTCCCATACACCAGTATATTATTTGCCTTGTGTGCTTGTGGCGAGTAGAGGAGCGACGCCCAGCCAACAGATGTTCCTTCCAGATGAGAATGCATCTTCCGCTAGAGCACGGGGAGATACACCGTCATATTTTTTGCCTTTCGCACTTGTGGTGAGTAGCGGAATCGTAGCCTCCTCTCCCTCCTCCATCATAGCCGCCACCTCATCTTCGTCGTCCTCTCCCTCCATAGTAGGGCCCTGCTGGAATGTTCTCGTCCTCGTCGTGCTCCTCCTACATCGTATCATCCTCTCCCTCCTCCATCGTAGCCACCACCTCTTCTTCGTCCTCCTCCTCCATAATAGCGGCCTGCATCGTAGCGGCCTGCTCCTCCTTATGCCCCTCCATCTTAGCGCCCTCCTCCTCCATCTTCGGCCACGCTCCTCCTCTTCCATCTTCCGTCACGCTCCTCCTCCTCCAGTCTCCTCGTCGTTCTCCTTCTCCTCCATCCTTCTCGTAGTTCTCCTCTTCGTCCTTCTGGATCATTACATCCTCCTCCTCCTGTGTCATAGCAGAGATGTGGCCATGTGGCCCTCCTCCGTCGTACCGTCCCCCACCTCCTCATGCTCCTCCATCGTAGTGCCCTCCTCCTCTTCTTGCTAGTCCTCCTCCTCCTCCTCCATCATAGCCTCCTTTTCCATTTCCTCATCTATTGTGGCCACATCGTCCTTCTTCCTTCTCCTCTGCATCGCAGCGCCCTCCTCATCCATCCTCTACCACCCTCCTCCTCTTCCTCCTCCTGCTCCTCCTACTCCATCCCATGCAAGACAACAGAAAGTGAAACACACCGCTCCCGAAAAATAAAAATAAAAAAATTAAGGCGTTGTATCTGTCCTTGTTCAACCTCAAGATTCATTCTCATTCTCCTTGTTTGTCAAGTGGTGGGGGGAGAGGACCATAGGCCCTTCCACGCAAAACGACAAAAAGTGAAATACACCCCTCCCAAAAGGAAAAAAAAATATATATATATATTGTCACATCACTACAAACTAAAAGAGCGCACTTTGCGGAACAAAGAATAAAAGCAAAAAACGGGCACAGTGATAACATGCAAAAATAAAAATAAAAAGAAAAACAAAAAGAAAAAACAAGGGCAGATTGAAACCATTAAATTTCTCATTCTTCTTTAACTCCACCTCCACTGTGCCTCTCACGTGCAAGGCTCGCCACGTTGATGAAGTTGAGCGTGAGCTGCCCCCATCCCCGTATGCCATAACAGCCCACTTGCACGCTGTGAGAGAGGCAGAGTGAAGGGGAAGGTGTTAAACACAGGAAAAAGCTCAAGAATGAGGCTGTCCTTGACGACAGAAAGGACAC